CTGGTTGACAAGGCGTATTGGCTAGTGATTCACCTAGGGGACTGAAAGTTGTTGGTTTTTCGTCCTGGCTCGGCCTCGGGCTAACTTTGGGACCTTGGGCAAGTCACTTTGGCCTAAATTGTGTCACGAAGACACAGCAGTGTGTTGCTGTCCCACCCCAGGACCATCCTGAAGAAAGAACTGAATATTAAAGAGCCACAATTTCCTGCTTGCACTCCACTTCCTCTAGCCTGTGTCAGCAATAAATTAGGATACTACCTATGCTCGCTCAGTTGCCCAGACTGGTGCTTATGCTCTACCCGCTCATTCCCAGCGGGAAAAGAGTAGTGGGTGCACAATGCCCGCTCACTCCTGCATGCCTAAACCAAAGTCCAGGTAGTCTATTTAGGGAGGTTCTTCTCCCCACTGCATCCTGCATAGCTGCGCAGCCCAGGGCACAATATAGCCATTAATGTCTATGTACTCTGTTTACCCATCCGTATCATAGAATGTACCTAATTGTGAGGGTTAACTGATGTTTCTAAGTTCTCTGAGATTCTCCAGTAGCTGTCACTAAGTCAGAACAAAATGTTGCTAGGCTATTTTAATATTTTCTAACTCAAGGTGACCTGGAATTGAAATCCTGGATTCGAAACCCCCCAAAGTTCACATCTGATTACAGTGGCAAACTTTGTGGCTTGGGCCCATCTTTTACTATCTATGGTTTTGATCATGTCTATAACATCCAACCTTACCCACCCCATCCTGCTTTAGTCCACAGAACAAACTTATCAGGCTGGTTTGCCTGCTGGCCCTTGCTGCTTGATATTACTGGAAGGAATGGGGAAAAGACTGCTCTTCTTTCTGGGTGTTACTTACTCTGCTGTATTTCTTCCTGTCTCTAGGCTGGTCATAATTAAGACTTCATTGACCAGAGTAATGTCCTAGGATATGTGTGTGTGTGTGCAATTCTGTATATTTTAGCATTGCATGAATGAGGGGCTGTTTACTTAGATATCTCCCAGATGGGACAGTCACAGCAGCTATGCAGTGTTAGCACAGATTATGGTTACTTTCTGGAGACTTTAGCTAGACTTTGTAGCCTCTCCTTTTGAGCTAATAGTATTCACCACTATCCATGTCAGAAACTGCCTCTGCCCCCAAAGCAGGAACATCTTACGATGAAAACCCTTCCTGAAAAACCACAAATGTCCATCATCTTCCACATATGGACTTGCCCCTTGGTTAATAACAGCATTCACTGAAAACACACTTTGTGTAAACACTGAAAACTAATCACATTTGCTAGAGTCGTGGCATGTCACAGCTATCGTTTCTGGAGAAAGTACTGGAGGGAACTTTCCCATACTTGTTGTGTTTGGCTGTCATGTAGCGCGCAGACTCTCACCATATAAGACTGTGGCAGTGTGGAGCTGGTGGGTCCCCCTTTTCTGGAGAATTTAGATGATGACAGCAATTAATTACTTCTCATCTCAAAGCCACAGTTTGCAGCAAGTACATTACTGCCCCATTTATCTAGTAGTTGGAAGCAAATTCCAGATCTCTCAAACAGCTGTCCAGTTTTGAAAAGACCTAACACCGGTGGTTGGTGGAGAAATGCTGGCCAGGCCATACTGCACAATGCCTGTCTAGCTTTGTACCTGGGACGGGTTCAGAACTGAGTGTCCTGTATCTGGGAGTACAGGTAAATTAGGTTAAGTTAAATGGTGGTACAGGGGAAGACCTATGAGGAAGATATGGTTCATTGAGATTAGTGCCCTCTCTCATGTTGGGCCAGATTCTGCCACTTTTGCAGTGAGGAATACCCTGCTCTGCAAGTAGTCCCATTGATTTCAGTGGGACTATTCCTGGAATAAGTTGTTAGTCAGTGGCAGTAAGGATTGTCAATCTGACCCATTATCATCAGACTGTATTTACTTTCGGTACACATTTGCTGCACCACTCCGAGGTGTAAGGTGATGCACACATTCTAGTGGCATTGAAACCAAGCATGACTGAAGCTTTTTGGACATTTGGGGCCGAACATCTTGTAAACAGGCAGATTTCAATCTGCTGAAGAGCCCAGTTGCTCTGAAGCTACAACTTAGAAGGAAGTTCTCAGTTAATTTTACCGTTCAAGTCACTAATACTCAATCAAAGGGTATCATTTTTTAAAAACTCCTTTGAATTTATTCAGACCTTTTGGGAAATGTTCAGAATACAAAGTAGAGAGACAAGGCCGGTGAGGTAATATCTTTTATTGGACCAACTTCTGTTGGGGAGAGAGATGAGCTTTCGAGTCACACGGAACAGTTCTTCAGGTCCTGTGTTGCTCGAAAGCTTGTCTCTCTCCCCAACAGAAGTTGGTCCAATAAAAGATATTACCTCCTCCACCTTGTCGCTCTAATATCTTGGGACCAACATGGCTATTACAACACTGCAGAATACAAAGTAGTGCGATGTGACTTGCAGTTTTTCCATACAACTGATTAAATCATAGGTGTGCTGGTTGGTAACAGTGATGTTCCCAGGGGACTTTTTGTTGCCACTCAATAGTAACCCATCTTCCTTCTCTGAGCATCTTGCCCAGTAAAATATGGGACATCCTTCAACTTATGCGTGTATTTTACTTTACTTGCTGTGTGTAATCCCGCTGACTTCACAGTGTTTAAAGTTAAGCATGCATGTAAGCCTTTGCAAAATTGGGGATTTACTGTGGAGCATTTTACTGGCCTGAGTCAAATATACATGCGTCTAAACCACAAAGTCTGCTGTTCTGAGACCCTTACTGGGATCATGGCTTGTAATGTTGCATTTTTTATTTAAATTGAATAGTTCTTATCCACTGTTGTCTTTTGTACTTCAGTTAGTCCATGGTTAAATTTCCTATGTACTTGTGTATAATTTTGTATTTTAATACTTTCCTCTGTTTGTTACTCCCCAAAAATAATGATTAAAAAAATCATATACTACAAAAAGAAAAGTATTGTTTCCCCTCAGCTTTTGATCTCCCTTGAAATTCTGATTTTTTTTGGTCGAAAACTGACATGGGGAGAGGCAGGTGGGAAATTCAGGAAGAAAACTGAAAATGTTTAATTTTATCAAAAAGCACTTAGCGCCTGGAAAGAACCGGATGCAAACCAATTAGAAGAGCATGCACACATTTGAAATGTTCTGGATGCTGCTGCTGCTTTGATCTCGGTTCAAACATTCATCCTCTCCAGTCTGGAGTCCCCAAACGAGCATTTTCTGTGGAAAGAAATCAGCTCTCCCAAATGTTCTGCTTCATCCGAGAATGTCTGGAGCAGAGCTTAACTTCTTTCTTCAGATCCTGTACCCAGTTTGAAAAATAGCCAATAGACAGAGATAAGAGTCTGACATTTGGACTAATTTCAAAAGGTGGTTGTGGTGGTTGTTAAGAGGGGTGATTGAGAGGGAGGAGGGAATTATTTAGGCCTTGTCCTCTCCATCTTCTGCTTATAAGGACTAGCTCTCTGTGGGTGGAACGTCCCTTTCACAATCTCATTGGTCAGCAACACGACCCATTCTGCTGGCTGGTATTGTGCTTTACCAGAGTTCCTACTGTGCAAATGGTAATTCTGGTAGTAGGTTGGTACAGAAAGGAGAAAAGCATGCAGCAGCGGCAACACGAAGAGCTGACATGATCTTATCACTCTGCTGCTGCGCCAACCCCCCTGATTTGTATTCATGTCTAATCTGAATGCACGGCCAGATCCAAAGCCGCTATAAACCAGAGCAACACTGATTTACACTGGCTGACAATCTGGCATTCAAAGTCTGGGTCTTAATATAAAAACCCCTTAGTGGGTTGGGACTTGACTCCCTATGAATGTTACCTAGATAGGTATAGCTACATCATCCCTGTAGAGCAAAGAGAGCCAAGATAATACTCCCCAGTGATGGGTGGTGGGACCCCTGCTGTGGAACTCCATGCCAAGGGAGATTGGATTGACCTTGAGTTTAGCTGTGTTCAGATCAAATAGTGAGGCTGTCTTTCTTGCTAAAGCCACCTCCACAGTCGTCATGACTCCTTCTACACCAAAACGACCACCTTCCCCAACACTGCAGGAGGTGGTCAGGGAGCAGAGCAGCCTTTGGATTTTGCCGTGCTTGGCTGCTGGAGGCAGCTCAGGTGCGACAGGTACCTCTGAACTGCCGTCGATAAGTCAGATCCGCCCAGTCGTTACTGGGCTGATGGTGACCAAGTGAAGCGGCACTTTGTGCACAGCGGAGGGGACAATCAGGTCTTGGGGGATTCGTCTCGGAGGGTAGGGGGATGATCGTGGCTATTGGACAATTGTGAAGCCTTTATCTCTCCCGGGTCCCCTGTGAGCTTCCCGGCTATGTTGTGCTAGGTGCCTGGCTGGGAGGCAAGCACGGACTTCAGGCTGTAGCAAAAGTGCTGAATAACAATGAGACAAAACTTAGCCTGAACACTCGCCTGGCAGGCATTTTCAATAGAGACCTGCACTGTTCCAGGTCCAGCCAGGTCAGTCCCTCAGGAAGAGTTCCCTGCTAAGCCCTGGCACCCCAGTGGACTGCTCTCTCTCCTACCTACCAGGAAGCATAATGAGAATAGATCTTAACAGAAGGTAAATGCAATGGCTCAGACTGAACCCTGGTGTAACTCTCCAGTGGCCAGCAGGATCAAGAGCCAGCACTGATCTCGGCTTCAGCTGTATTATTTTGTCATCAGAAATGATTGTTCTGTGTAGGAAGAAATAATCTTTCCTTGCCATGGAAGGCATAAGTGCCCTCCCATTGACTGACTGCCTCTCGATGCTGCCCAGGCTGGGGTATCTGAGCAGGAAGTCTGGGGAGAGGGGGTCCTGGCAGGACAGGCAGTCAGGGTGGACTCTCTGCAAAGCGTGTCCTCTCTTCAATCCGCTCATGCTGTACCTCCTACAAGTTTAGCTTGTCCCTCCCACTCATTCCCAATGAGCAGCTTCTGGCAGGGAGCTGGGAAAGGCTGGGGATAAGTGGAAGCTTTTTTCAGAGTAAGGCTACCACTCTGGCTCGGTGCCTCAAGCGGATGGTAGGGGTAGGGTACCAGAAGCCTCTAGCACTCACATGGACTTCTACAGAGGGCTCTTTCTAGCCTGGGCTCTCAGCCTCCTACCAGGTAAGCTCCCTCTCCTCTCTACCATCTGCTGAGCTCTGGAAAGCTTCTGTCAGGGCTGAAGGCACCGATGGCAGCAGGCAGCTTTAAAAAGGGGGGAAATCGATTTTTTGCTTATGTTAGTAACCAAAGGAAAAACAGCCTGAGAAAGCCACCGTTGACTAAGGCCGTTGGTCAATTAGTGAAAGGTCTACAGTAAACGAGGAGGGGATTTTTCTCCAAAAAGTTGAAAGGGATAAAATCTTTCACTCGGCTCCTGAGGGATGACTGGGAATGACGGCGAGAAAACTCTTTTCAGTAAAGCACTCACAGCTCGTCATCTGGGCTACAGTTGCATGTGGGATTAGTTTGTATCTTTTTTTTTTTTTCCCTTAAGGAGAAAATGGAGAAAATACTTTAAAACAAAAATGAAGTCTCGAAGACTGTGCTAAGTTTGGGGTTGTAGTGGCAGCTTGTCTTCAGCCGCACAAAAGGGGGCTGAGCATGGGGAAGGTGTCAGGGGCTAAATAACCTCTGGGTGCTGAGATTTTAGGTGCTCATTTCATTTTAAGATGTGAGTTTGCAGCCTTCCTTCACATATGGTTCACTGTGTGGCTGCATAAGCCGTATTGAGTTACAGCGGGGGGGGGGGGGGTGGATTCTGCTTATTGTTGGCCACATGCCTGTGAGTTTAAGTTCAGTTGTTACAGAAAGTGAGTCCCCCGCAGTAGTCAGTTTTGCTGCCATTAGACTTCCCAGCTTTCCAGGCACAGCCCTACCTCAGGAGCAAAGGGGACCGTGACTCTGCTTTGCACTTTAGAACAAAAGGAAATCTTTCTGCCAGCTAGGAAGAAGTTGCTGCTGTTGCTAACTACATTACACACCTCAGTATGCTGCTAAGGGCCGCACTGGGGTCTCGTGTGCTACTGTAAACACTTCTAAACATCCTGAGGGAATGTGTACCTATTTTTTCTAATTGCACAAGTACTTGATGAGCTAAGGAAAGCTGCAAGGAAGCTGCCTTTCTTTTCCTAATACAGAACATGTGTCTAAGCCTTGCACGTGGACAAAATGTTGTCCGCTTTGCACACAACTCTAAGTGAGATCTGAGAGGTTTTCACTTTGGACAGCATTCTGCGGTTACTTGCTGCATTTCAGAGATATTACTTCTTACTGTTCTTTTAGACTATGGCAGACTTGCCTTTGAAAATAGGTGGATCGAGTTGCTCTGACATTTGGACAATAGGCACTATACTTGAAACTGCTTACGTGTGCTTTAAAGTCTGCAGCTTAAACTCTTTAAGGAGATCAAGTTATAGACTTGGTTTTATTTTATATTTTTAGACTCCACTTATGGAACACTGTAACTTTTTGGATCTTTGCCTGCAGGCCACACAAATAAATTTAAACCTGACTATTTCGTTATACGTACACTCCAGATACCATAGTGACATCTGCTGGTGATGACAGAACTCTTTAAGTACAGACATCTGTGGTAAACAGTCTGATGTTTGTTCAGACGGGCAGCAAAAAGAATAACTGAAATAGCAAGAGTCAATTTTTAACTCCCTCTAAAGGGTTCAATGGTATCCTTGGTCTGGCATTCCTGTACGTCTTGTCTTGCAGTTAACCCAGGTGGGGTGGGATGTGGGGGGACAGGAAACTGATGAAGGCTCATTTGGTTTTGTATGCTTGATGCTCAAAGATAAGACCAACCTTAGAAGAATCATAGAAGATTAGGGTTGGAAGAGACCTCAGGAGGTCATCTAGTCCAACCCCCTGCTCAAAGCAGGACTAACCCCAACTAAATCATCCCAGCCAGGACTTTGTCAACCCGGGCCTTAAAAACCTCCAAGGATGGAGATTCCACCACCTCCCTAGGAAACCCATTCCAGTGCTTCACCACCCTCCTAGTGAAATAGTTTTTCCTAATATCCAACTAGACCTCCCCCACTGGAACTAGAGACCATTGCTCCTTGTTCTGTCATCTGCCACTACTGAGAACAGCCGAGCTCCATCCTCTTTGGAACCCCCTTTCAGGTAATTGAAGGCTGCTATCAAATCCCCCCTCACTCTTCTCTTCTGCAGACTAAATAAGCCCTGTTCCCTCAGCCTCTCCTTGTAAGTCATCACAGCTTATATCACAGCTGTGGAGCAGTAACATAGGCTGAGCGTGAAGCTGCAGGGTGGAACCAAATCTAAGTATGTATATGTTGAAATAATTATTTTATCCACATAGGAAGCCATCACATGTTCACAGCTGGATATTGTGTCATGATTTATGTTCTAGGTGTAAAGTGCTGTCATGTGGTACCTTCTTAGCACAGAAAGAAAGCGAGGACTTTAAAAAAAAAAAAAAACCTACTGCATCAAACTTACTTTGTCTCTTTCACCTTTTAAATGGCTGTTTTCAGGCATAATTGGTTTGTGGAAACTAAATATATTTACACTCTCATTATAAAGACATTGGAAAATGCCACGGCAGCCACTGGGGTATATCCCCTGACTTCACTGATGTTTATCCCTGGGATTGATTTGGCCTAGTCCATCTCTATATAACAGACTTTAAAACTACTTAAAGAACTCATTGTCCATATCAGTGTGTGTTCCTTTAAGTCAGTTCAGAGTTTTTCAGTGGTGGCATGTGTGTCATGTTACTATGGAGTTACTATGGTGATTAGCTAATGTAAATAAATAGCATTGGTCCAACTATTACATACATGACCAGAAGAGTCAGGCCACTTCCTCTTTTCAGCTGACTGCCACTCTTCCTGAGAACATACCTTCCAAGGAACTCCATGGAGTGTAATGTCTTGTGTACAGGCAAACAGAGTTTGGTGAACAGTGATGATCCACCAGGGACCATTACTTCATATCTGGATCTATGGAGAGCTAGTCTTAGGGCATACAAACAGTAACACTCCCTTCTCAGATGATTAGAAACAACAAATAGGGCCAGCTCCTGTTCCTAATGAATTCAGTGGGGCAGAGATCAGGCCCACATTGGTTACTAACATTGTGGGTAAAGTGCTGCACATGGGCTTAATAGAAATGGCTTCTCTACGTACCTGCTGATATCAGCTGGCTCTGGATGTGCAGAGTCAATAGATCATGTTGTTGATCACTGACAATGCAACTTGCTGTGACAGGGAGAAGTTGTGTCAGTTGGCAACACTTCCAATTCCATAAATCAAAGACCCATTTGAAGAAAGCCGAGAAGGCTTTCCCTGATTAGAGAGTTTAGAAAATACCCAAAGAGGGGTCACAGTTCTGTCTTGCATGTTTGCATCTGGCTGGTTTTATCTGTATGACACATTCTGACATAGAGCACCACTGGAACGTTCAGAGGTGGGGAAGAAGTCTGAATCTAGATAGTAACCTTATCCAGTAGGGTGCTTGGACCTGTTGATAACCTCTCTTGTTATCTTTATTTGTTGCTTTTGTTATGTAGCTAGTTCTAGACTTGTGTAAGTGAGGGGCTCATGAAATAATAGAGCCAGGCATTTCACAAGGCTATCCCTACAGCAAATTAAGCACTGGTTTTGTAATGTAGACAGATGTCCATGGGAGAATAGGATGAAGCCTCCTGACTCGTCTTGTGGCCTAAGCTGAGTTTGAACCTAGGACATTAGGCATGCACTAGACTGCGTCTGGCTAGTGGCCTAACACTGCGCCACCCAGCCTCCACGCTGCTTTATTTCACTATGAAAGATTTAGTCTAACTTTATATTTTTTGTTTTCCACTTCTCCCTCTACCCCACCTTTCTGTTAATCTGGGTGGCTAGAATGTCTGTTTCTAGCTGGGCAGCACATGTGCCAGGAAGGCTCTGACCCCACTGGCATGGGAACGGTGAGCTCTGTGACCATGTTAAAACATTGTTGTCCTAGCGAGCTTCCAGCATGATTTTCCTGACCAGTGTGCACAGGATTTATTATTCATCTGGGAAATGTGCTGGGGTTATTATAAAAGTTTGCTACAGAGTAGCTAGGGGCTTGTCTTCATTACATAACCTTATTGGGCTTGAATAAAATTACCAGAAGGTCTGTTAGCTGATACGATACTGACCACAATTTTGTGGTTAGGCCAGATCATATGCAGTATCGGCCCCCAGTGTTTTCAGCAGAGTTTAACCTGCCATGATGGTGAATTTGATTCTCTTTGGTCTACCCTGCACACAAAGTCATGGTCAGAATCATATCCTTTAACTTGAATGTACCCAGTTGTGATCAAACACACTAAGATTATTAATGTTGATAAGGCTTAGGGAGCTAGTCTATTATTTGGCTTGCATGGTACAGGGAAATCCCCTTTGAACCCTGATCGGCACAGATATGCAGCTGGGTTGGTGTTAACTTGGATCCCAAATGCAATGGGATACCTCTGCCAGTGCAGTAGGCATTAACTGGAGCACTAGAATTTAAATTTTTGTAATGACTTTGTCGTCCCTGCATCCCCAAGAATGATATTCTCGTGGCCCAGCATTTTAGAATAAAGTAACTTCTCTTTCGCTGCTTTTTGAAGGCCAATGAGCTGTAATTGGAAAGTGCTCCTACGGTTAATGACCTGTGGCTGCTTCCTAAAGATCTTGTGGGTAACCACAAACGTTACAGAACATTAATTTGTAATTAGAGATTTTACATCTATGCTTCTTATTACCGTGTTTTCGATCTACACCCATGTCAGCATCCATAAAGAAAACTCATTTTGTTCCCTAATCCCACATGCTGGACAATGGCTTTTAAAGAACTGGAGTCTCTGAGTTTTAGCCTTTTTTGCCTATAGTATATCAAATAGTTTAGGAGCTTGTTGGGCTCTTTGCTGACAAGATCTTGGATATTTTAATATTTTCAGCATTTTATTTCACTTGTAGGCAGTAATGGCTGGGTTTACTGCAAGGTGATAAATTGTAGTCAGCTAATTTCTATGTGTTGTCATCATTACTGCTGTGTGATTCATTGCCACTGCTTTCTAAGTTTTCTCCCCGTTTAGGGTTGAGTAGCAGTACCCACATGTATACTTTGCT